TTCACGAGGAGAGCCTGTATGTCGAGGGCGAAAGACAGTGCGAGGCCCAACAAGCCGCAGCCGGCGCAGGAGGACGATGCCGTGTGGCACGCCGCGCCTAGGGGCGTCACCGACGTCAAGGCAGAAGGCGACGCCGACGTGTCCATCGATTTCGATGCGCACGACAAGTCACAGGCCGCCGAACCCATGGAGATTGACTCCAAGTCCGTGTCCCCCGTCGGCGATGGGCCTGCCGAGCGCAAGCCGAAGAAGAAGGCCGCCCTGGACACAGAGACGGAGATGATGACGGCCGACATGAGAATGTTGCTGAGCGAGCTTGGTCCGGCCGACGACGGAAGCCTGACCCACAACAGGGACGGTCGTCTATATCTGTTCCAGTTCCCGCCTGTCCTGCCTCCGCTGCACGTCATTTCCGGTTCGTCCGTGGTCAAGTCGGAAGGGGACGACACGGTCATGCTGGAGCAGGGTGCCGGGGGCTCGATTGACCTGACAGGCAGCGACGAGCAGAAGAAACCCAAGGTTGAGGGCGAAATCAAGGTGTCCGTGTCAGAAATGGCTGAGAACCTCAAGCAGGGCGGCATGATTGGCAAGATGAATGTGCGCAAGTCGGGCAAGGTCGAGTTTGACTGGGGCGGCTGCACCCTGGAGCTTGGTCCGGCCGCTGGCATGAACTTTCTGACGACGGCTGTCATCATCGAAGAGGCGGACGAGAAGGCCAAGAACGCAGAACACGGCGGTGACGCCTACGGCATGGGCAAGATCATGGGCCGCTTTGTCCTGGCGCCACGGTGGAGTGATGAAGAGGAGTGGGTCGTGGACCCTGAGGACCTCAAGATCGACGAGTGAGTCTTGTTTACGAGGCAGTTCGCTCTGGCGTTCATAGACATATACATATGCCCGGACTACATCGAGGCGGTGAAAGGGACGCAGGTGCGCCCACGCAAAATGGAGTTGGTTCAATTTATACCTTAGAAACAGGTGGCAGATCATACAGAGGCTTACTGGCTGAGGGTACTTCTCAATACGAAGCAGCAAATGCCAGAGGCGGAAATATACCCTTCCTCTTTACTCCACTGGTTCAAATCATATAAAGCCAGGCAGAGAGCTGTCTAACATGGTTGAACTGGTGACACCACTGCATTGGTTCATTGGCGCCCGAAGAAAGAACAGAATGCGTATACACAAGTCACCCAATTGCATGATCGTCACTCGCTGTCGGGAAGGCGAGAGAATCCCATTGCCTGGTTTGTGGTACCGCGGAAGTGCAACTGCTTCGGGTAACATGTCACGTCCAGTTGTGGCATCATGGTGGAGTATGACAAGACAAGTCCCCTTTGTCATTATTCACGATTGATTCCAAGAAATATCCATTCGAAAAAGAACCGCAGTCGTGTCGTAGGTCCCAAGTCGGAACCCCGTTGGCTCTTCTTCAGAACGCCTGTTCGCCAGCCATCTATCAATCCCAGACTTATGTACATGATACATGGTGCCTCTTCCAAGTCAATGCAAATTCCGATGATGTGTTTTGTTACCAGCGACCAGAAAACCCGTCGCTCCGTGAAGAGTGGAAAGAGGAAAACAGAGCCGAGCGATCGACATCCACGAAATGGCAGGTCTCCTGTTTCTCGGATCCATCATCGCCTGCCGCTCAATCCCACGCGGCCACTATGCTGACTCTGTGCGTCCATCCCATCCAGGTCGTCCGAGGATACGCTCGGTGAGCGCAGTCTATCCCCCGTCCACTTGTCGACGCCCCCAGCGCCAGGGCCCTCGATAACATACACATCGCTGTTGATGTAGTTCCTTCTTGCAGGCTGGGAGCCGTCGTCTTGCAAGCTTTCATGCACTTCGAGACTCTTTGATTTCTTTCTTCGGTGCTCAAATGGCGGCGGCCGCAGTAACACGCCTGGCGCCGCTGGGTCAAATGGCGACATGCTCAGGGGTGACATGTGTAACGGCGGAGGGTTGGATTGAATGCTCAATGTCGCATACGACCCTGAGGACTTCGCTTCGGCCAATTCTATGTCGACGGCGGTCAGTTCGCCGTGGCCGTACGCCGGCATCTTTCCAGCGGATCGTTGTGTGCCAGACCGCGCTGTGCCACTAGGGCCAGGTGTACGTCCGGTAGATTCGAAGCCGTGCAAGCGGAAGAGTCGAAGAAGCGGCCGGATCGTGACGAGACTGGCGGCAACGATGGCGACGCCTGGTTCGACAAGAGTCCAGACCATGGCATCGGTACCAGCGACTAGGAGACCGGGTCAGTAGTCACGGAATAATGGATGAGCCAGGGAAGAAAGGATTCGTCTTACAGAGGATGTCGTCGAGATCGTTCAAGTCAGCCAGAAATTTGAGCCTAATCAACGTCGCAACGCTGGCACTGTGGATGGAGTGAGTGCTGTACGGTACATTTCGGTGCTGGGTTGCTCGGGTGGGCAACTTACAAGATACCCAAACTTAAGAGTAAAATCACAGATATCTTGGCAGGCGCGGTCATTTTCACCTTCCAAATCATGGGTATGGGCATGAGGGCACTGTTGACATAGTTAGCGAGGTTCTCGGCGGTTGATGCGCGCGTGCGCGCATGGCGGGCTGACTGACTATAGCCAGTCACTCAAGATGGTCATGACGGAGATGGAGTAGGCAGCAGAAACGATGTGATCAGGCGTCACACAGGTCGCGTCTTGAATGGTGTAGTCCCACTGAGCCTGAACGGGGTGGCATTGGAAGATGTTCCAGAAGAATATGACGAGGGTCCAGATCATAATGATGGCCAGGCTGATGTATATCGTCCAGATATATCCCTTTGAGGTGGTCAGGCGTAAGAGAAAGATGCCAACGCTGAATTTGATGAACATCATGTTCAAGACATACGTGGCGGTAGCGAGGGCTTGATACTTGAAGGCGTGTGCGATTTAGTTGTTGTGGACAAACATGGAGCTGTCGGGACGCGACAGAACTCACCATCAGGGCCCTGATCTCCCGGGACTGTTCCAGCGCCTTGTTGTGCATGCCAAGGCCATTGTCAACGCCGGCGAGGATGAAGACGCAGGAGGCGGTGAAGATGAGCTGGGCAACGAGCATGAGCCAGTCGTCGGCCTGGTAGGCCTTGGTCAAGATGGCGCGCACATAGGTGCGCAGTATGACCGAGACCCAACTGAGGACGAGGAAGGTGATGGCGGTAGCTACGAGGGCTCCTCCATGATCTTCGGTCAGATCCACCCCGGCCATGGATGGGTGTCGATTCGTTCAAGGGTCTGAAGTGAAGGTCTGGCCTCTACGGATCTCCAGAGAACAATCAACACGGTCAGGAATAAGTGAAATGGACAGGAAAGAAGAAAGGAAAAGAGACAGAGACAAAGACGACAACTGAAGGAGAGAGGGCCAGACGCAGAGGAAAGCATAGCGTGAAGAGCATAGAGCATAGAGCCGCGAAGAGATGGCCGAGAAGGGGGGGGGGACTTCATCCGCCGGGTCAATACAGCCAACACCAAACAGCACCTTACATCTGAGCTTGTGCTAGCAGATGGCCAGCCGGGTTCTGCAGCCAACAACGCCATCGTGTTGTCGTCTCGAGTCCAGTCGAGTCTACGTGCTGTGCATGCTTGCCGACAGCCGGACACAAGGGATCATGGCTGCGACGGCGGCACCCCAACTGTGCTGGCCGTTAATGAAGGCTGCAAGGTTCTGCAGTCAAGCTAGCAGAGTGTGATCCCGGCCAGGCACCATCGCTCTCCCTCCCGGGACCCCCCATGTCATAGACTCCATGTGGATGGCAGGGTAGTGAATCTGGGCTCGAAGCGCAGGGAGGACAGGCGAGGCGAGGCGAGACGCGAGGCGTGTGGGAAGAGCCTCTAGCGACGAAAGGATCACGAGATTCGGCGTTCTGTCGCGGCGTACCTACCTAGGTGCCTTACCATGCATACCTAGGTGTGTACCTACCTAGGTACCTAGGCTCCGTATACCTGTATGTCGCCTCTGGGCTCGTGAAAAGGCCCCGCTGTGGCGGCGCCCTCGGTCAGCGCCTTTGCAGGCAGTGCTGGGCAAGCTGTTCTGGCCCTCATTCTTATCGGGGCTCGTCGAGGCTCGTCGAGGCCGAGAAAGGCGAGGTGCCTCAACAGGCACCCGTAGGATTTCCAGCCATGAATGCAGAAGACTGGTGGCTCGTCAATGGCATGGGGATGCGAACGCGAATGGCACTACCTGAACATGGTACAGACGAGGGTGGTTTGCAGGTCTGCAGCATTAGTGCGTGATGGTGGGAGCAGAAAGGCAAGGGGGAAAGCGGCCGCGGGGAGGAGGGGGGATGCCTGTCAGCGGTGCCCCTGATCCGTCGTCTTGGGAAAGAGCATGATTGGCAGGCGCTGTCGACGGGCTCTTTGCGACTGCCTCTATGTGTTCGGGTGAAAAGAAGGGCATAGCAGCCGACGACCGTCCCACGGTGTAGGAATTGGCAAGGGCACCTCGCCCATGTGAAACAGCGACGTGGGAACTTTCCGTCCTTGGGATCCCACGACGACATCGAGGGAGGCTCTTGTTTTCTAGCAATGCATCCGTTCGACATGGCGCTGGGCACATCTGAGCCTTCAGGTAGGAGGGGTTCCTTAGCTACACAGCAGATTCCCCTCCTACCTGCCTCTCGAGCTCCTGCCCTCCCCCCCCCCCTCCTGCCTTATTACCCGCTTGGATTGCGGTGCTACCTGCCACCACCCACACCGTC